AGTAGGAAGAAGTATAGATACCTAAAAAGTATACTTAAGTACAGTAATGAAGTATTTTTACTTCGTTACTTGACACCTGTGGTCACCTATAGAATGACTGAAAGATGCTTAGAGAGACAGAAAACTGTTGTATAGTTCTCTGTTTACGGAAGCGTATTGCATTCACCAAAGAAAAAAAATTCTGACAGCTTATTTCATAATTACGAGATATTATCTCATAATTATGAGATAATATGTTATATTTAGGAGATCTGGAAGAACAGTCATCTGATCTCCGTTACATGAACAATGAGAGGGTTGTTAGATTTAATCTGCTTTTATTTCCTTTCAGGTATGCAGCACTGGGAAATACCGAGTTTCCTTATTGTGGACTGAATTCATTTTAATTTGTCAGCATTGTAAAGTCAGTCCTTAGAACTTTTTTAGGCGAAGAAGCCCACTCTGACTTCACACTTTTCCTGCAGGAGCAATTAAACCAGCACGGGCTGCTTTATGGTATTTCCGAGATAATATCTTGTAATTAGTAGATACTGATCTCAAAATTATGAGATAAGCTGTCTTTTTTTAATTTTTCTTTGGTGAATGCGATACGCCTCCGTACTTCCATACTCAAGTAAGCATAACCAAATATATAGATACGATCTAATAATTCCGAAATAAGATCTCGTAATTATGAGATCAGTATCTCATAATTACGAGATCAGTATCTCATAATTACGAGATCTTTATCTCGTAATTATGAGATAAGCTGTCAGATTTTTTTCTTTCTTTGTGAATGCAATACACTTCCGTACTTCCGTACTCAAATAAGCATAACCAAATATATAGATACAATCTCATAATTCCGAAATAAGATCTCGTAATTACGAGATAATATCTCGTAATTACGAGATAAACTGTCAGATTTTTTTTTTTCTTTGGTGAATGCAATATGCTTCCGTATCTGTTAGTGTGCGCAATAAAAACACCTAAAACACATGCTTTGGACGGACATATTAATTTATTTTTGGCACACGTTATCACATTTTCTCTTTGGGATCCATGGCCTGAGACTAGGGAAGCCATCTCCCTGAAAAAAAAAAGGGACACCTGATGTTTGTTCCAGCTGACCGACTGCCTTTTCCCCTCCTGGCGCGGGGATTTTTTAAAATTTAATTAGATGCATGTTTGCAATGTGCTTTATTTTCATTATCGCAGACCTTTTCCACCCAGGTATTTGTTTTTTCCCATTCCTCCCTATATTTCTGCATCCTTTTTTTTTTTCAGAGGAGGAGCATCACTATACTTAGATGCAGCGGCCCTAAAAGCAGCGTCAGCTTTTAAATTCCTCTGTTCGTCCCCCTTCCTGCTCTGTTGTTTACCGTAAGTTTTGTATCTAATGTGCACTTCTTCATTTTTTATTAGCTTTTTACTGACTATTTTTTTACTCTCACAGTAATATAGGACATACTGTGTTCCTTTACCACTAAATACTGGACAGGTACTTCTATTTCTTCTATTTCTGAATACAGAACGATTCCGTTTTTCAAGGGACGGTTGGCGCTTTGTTTACAGCAGCCACCTGCCTGGCACCGCACGGCGCTGAAACCTGCAGGCTGTGACCACTGATCTCTATGGCTATGATGCTTACAGCATTGTAAACATAGTGAATGTTTGTTTGACCTCCTGCACACCATATTAAAACAAACAAACCAAAAAGCCATGAAATCCTAAGAAGACAGCCAAGGCCTGTCCTGCTTTATAAAACGGTGCTGTAGCAAAGGAACAACCACATCTAGAAAAGGAAATCACACATTCTATAGGAATGGAAGTGCTTTAACTTCTGGAAGTTTTGTTCTATTTTTTTTAAAGGATTTCAGGGTCTAGAAAATCACCAGTAAAAATAGCTCATCTCTGTATAAACGTGCTAGCAGGACAAACCTTGGCTGTGATTTTTTTTTTTTCTCTGCTCACAAACTATTATTTCATTTTTGAACCATTTTCAATACAACAACAATAACACTGGTTCTTCTGAATACAAATATGTACAGAGACGTCCCCCTTTAGTGGAAATAATGCCCTGCACTCTGATGAGTTATCTAAAGATGGCTGCCGACCTTCAGATCCTTCACAGAAACCGTCCGTACGGTTTTGGTACCTGAATCGACAGAATGAATCACAGTTTCTTCATACGGACAAAAGCTTTGAGTTTTTTTTTTTCTTCTCCGTCCAAAGTGGACGGAAGGAGACGCTTGTTCCTCCCCCTGAAAGTCAGACATCTGGATCAGGACCGAGTTTTCAGCAGTATGTGAACAGGGTGTAAACAGACTAGATGTTGACATGAGTGGAGGGAGAAAGGCACACATGATAAGACCACACATATCTGAGAACTACGGCAGGGAGGCGGGAAAAGACGCGTTTCTTTTGGTTTTGGTTTATTTTGGAAAGCCTGATGAAAAAGTGCCACTCAGTTTTTTTTTTGTATTTCTTTAAATCGCCCCTTTTTACACTCATTTAGCTTCTGGTGAGGACTGAATTCCCTGAAAAGCGTTTTTCACATGAAATAAAATTGAGTCTCGGGTTCTGTTGCTGGGGGTGGGGTGGGGGGGTATGTTTTGGGGGGCTGAGCCCCGTCCAGTTAACTGTTCCGCTTCCGATCATCAGATTAGAAGTGAATCCATCGCTCGGTACTTCTATGTAAATGGGGACGTAGAGTGCGTGGGTGCAGAACCGACCGTGGGCTGAGTTCGCTTTCTTAGCCGACTTTTTCTTTCCTTTCCCTTCAAACGCTCTGCTTTCATTGCCTCAGTGTTTCTCATTTACATACCTCAGTAGACAATTTCATCAAGCAGTTTAAAAGGGGTCACGCCATATCAAATAGGTTAGGAGAAAATTCACATTCTTAACACTCTTGGGTGATATTCTTGTGCATTTCAAGAGGAAGAATGCACTATTTTGTTAACCAAATGCATCCAAACCATCTTTCCTGAGGAAAGACTGCACTAGACGAGAAGAAGAAGGGGGGGGTTGGTAGGGTGACCGAGGTTTGGGAAGAGGGCTAAAAAGTCAAAAAAAAGCTTTGACATCCTTTTGAGTGACGTCCACATATTTATGCAACAAACGCCTCCTCTGACTACAGAGGGGCGGCTGTGCACCGCGGCAAATCAATTTTCCTCTCCCACGCACTCCTCTCATTTCACAGGAGGCCTTGATCCAGCCGCTGCTAGCGCCGCTGGCCTCAGCTGACTGCTCAACCCGTGGCTATGCTCCGCTCCGCCTCAGGTCACCTGAGAACCAAACTCTATTTACCATCAATCTGGTCTGGTTCCCCGGTTTGGAAAAGAATTTAAAAACCCTTTGATTTCCTGAAACTCTCAGAGCGTAAGAATAAACATGAACACGCAGGCGGGACGCTGCTATCCATACGGCCCCAGACCTGTCCTCCTCAAATGCTGGCATCTACAACAGTTTCTGGGAAAGTGCACATTCTATGCTGACTACATCTTCAACATGCCGTGGACATCAGAGCAACACACGGGAACGGATTCACCCAAAGGCAGCTCACACTAACATCTACTGATCCGTCCCACCATGAAGGCGCTCTCAGCCTTCAGCGTGAACAACACACAACAAGAAGGTTATAGACTGAACACGTGGTGCAGAGCATCATTCTGAGCTGTACAGATAAACGACGCGGCGCCCAGTGAGCTGCGGCGCCCAGTGAGCTGCGGCGCCCAGTGAGCTGCGGCGCCCAGTGAGCTGTCCCGGTCCAGGCTCTGTGCACACGCTGCATTTTTGGTTCAAACGGAAAATTTCTTCTGGATTTCTACAGTTTGTGTTCGACACCGACCACATCCTCTCTGCAAACAGGTTCCAGAATAAAAGGTTTGGGAGCCATCTTGCTCTCTGATGTCATGTAAACACGTATCATCACCCGGACCAGACCGCCCACTGGTGGCGGGGGGAGGAAACGCCACCGTTTTCTCTGATGTTGAGCTCTTTATTAAAACCCCGTCCCGTAGATGTGTGAACGGAAACGCGTTCCCTTTCTAACGGATCGTCGTCGTGTGCGAAGGACGATGGAGGCCGAAGACAGACGGGCAGAAAGAAACCAAAGCAACGGAGGGAGATGGAAACGGATCCAAAGTACTGTTCCAGCTTCAGCTTGACTGAATGTTTAAAGCCACAGTTGAGCAGGTCTAAGAGATATTAAAGAAGGAGCAACCGCCGCCTCACGACGACGCAGCCGCGCGCCTCGCCTGAACAGCTTCTGATAATACAAGAGAAGAAGAAGAAGTCAACAATTACACTGGAAAAATATATGTATGCTTCTATTCATATATATAGCATCTTTAAAATCTATTTGTACAGAATGTATAGAGTGAACTTATGGCCATCTTGGCAGAGAAATAAAGGCATTTGAAACAATTTGCACGCTCTCGATGCCGCGGTCGTCTCGGGACCAGACATTCTTACATTGCAGAGATGCAAAGAATCAGGAAAAAAGGTAAGCTCTCCTTTCTGCTCTTTTTCTTCATCTTTTTTTTTTCTTTTAATCAGTGGCACTTTGTGCATCAAAAAATTAAAATCTAGAGTAAGGCTACAAGGGTGTGTATGTTAGAAGTTAGTCAGATAGAAAGGACCTTATTGTATCCTCGCTGGTTGTTTTAGACTCATGCATCCAGGCTAAAACGTTGCTGGAAAAGCGCGCTTTGTGGAACGTTTTAGGGCGGTCAGAGGACATGCAGCCTCGGTGCATCGTAGAGGTTCTGGGTGAGCCAATGTTGGCTGCTACAAAGAGCCTGGGAGAGGTACAAAATCTTTTATTTTTCTCTCTTTTAATGGTTTTTTGTTCTTCCCCTGACGAAAAGCGAAAAAATGCACAAAGAGGATGTGACAGTGACAGAGAAGTGAGTGCTTCTGTTGGGTTTACAATCAGCTGCTGGTTCCTCTAACTTCACGCCTAAGCAATCAAACAGTAACAGTGATGTCTTTTATTTAAATATTAGTGGTGGATTTTCTTTTTTTTCTACTCAGGTTCAACCGTCACATCAAACACATAAATAAGAACCAAATAAATACACATCAGTCGTTTCTCATTAAATAAATAATAAATACATTATTTGTCATTCTTCCTCTTACCTGTGGGGTTTGCACCAGTAACAGAAAAAGCAAAAACAAAACAGGAAAAAAAGAAAAAACAGACCAAAAAAAAAAAACTTTTCTTGTAAAATTATCAAAAGAATTTGTTATAAAACATCTGCACGTAAAAAGGTTGCTAGAAACCAAAAATACGCCTCGTCTATCGTTAGAGGTTCTTAAGACATCTGCAGACCGCTTCTCAGTAAAGTTGCATTTTTTGTTTGCTTGTTTTACAAAACAAAGGTAATAATAATAAATAGATTGTTTAAAATAAATAAACTTCAATAACATAAAAGGCAATAAGTTACAATTTAAAAGTTCACAAGTTTAAATAATTCATATATAACAATAATTATTGTACCACAAAACTATTCATTGAAATGAAGTGCAATAAATACTATTGATATGACCTAGAAATCTGAAATGTGTGCACACTACTAAACAAAGAGGGCTGGGCCGTTCTGAGGTCCGCAGAGCGAACGCACGCCGTCCGGTGGGAGCGGGGAGGCGTGTGTGGATCAGACAGCTGCTGGACGCCCAGCCGATGCTACAGGACGGCGCTGAAAGCCCGCTCGTCCAGCTCGTCCTTGTCGGGAGCGGATCCAGCCTCCGCGCCTCGTTCCGGATGAACGGAAGCGCGGAAGCCGGTCGGCGGATTCAGCAGGTGATCGGACGCCACGTCGAATCCTCCTTTCATCCACTCTGACTGAAGACTTGTGAACCCCGGCAGCAGCATGGTGTGGATTTTGGTCGCCTTCCTTCAGCAGAGCGCTCCCTGGGTTGATATTTGAAATTTGCCATTTTTGGAGTAACCTGAATTCCCTTTTTTTTTGTTTTTGAATGATATCGTTGAGCATTCCTCCGTTCTCTCAGCTCCTCATGCTTCCAGCCTCTCCAGCTTCAGGAGCCGATTCAGATTCCTAACTGCGCCGCATGTGGAGCCTCAGACTTTGATGCCCTTTACGGCCTTGTTGATGCTCTCCAGCAAGGCCTTGTTCTCGGGGCTCTGGAAGCACTCCTTGTTGGTGTACATGTCAGTCAGGGTGCTGATGTAGTTGTCAAAGTTCTGCTCCGTGATTGGCTCCTGCTGCCATGCAAAAGAGACGGCCGTGAGTGGAAGAAAGAGGAGAAGGCAGCGAAACACAGAGAGAAGTGGAAGCCTCACCATGTGGGGCAGGTGGATGTTAGCCAGGCTGCGGATCAGGGCCCGACTCAGACCGGACAGCTCCATGAAGAGAGCCTCATTCTGCTCTTCGATCATCTTGTTTTCGTGCTCGATGCTCTTTAGGTTTTTTTCCATGGAAGAGATCTGTGGCGGTTCAGAAACAAACCCAGATATGAGAAGATTTTCCTGAATCTGTTGACAGCAGTCCAACCTCCAAGCCATCAGTGCCTGTCCCAGCTCTGTATGTGTGTTAGCTTAGCATCCTGAACGCCATCCCCTACCGACTGCCTTCAAGCTATGGAGGTTTACTGGGATGCCTCCCAGTTAAAAAGAAAACCAATTCATTCCCTGACTGGCTTTTTCAAACTGTTCTTCTAGCCGACAAAGAAAAACTGAACAAGTTAAAATTCAAGAACCCAGTTCTGCTTAAAACTCTTTTTTATTATTTATTGGAATTCGACTTAAAGTGTAACTCACCCCACCTCTAAAAACCGAACCCCACCCCCAGACAAAGGGAATGGGCGGAGCCAAGAAACATTGAAGTGCAGGGCTAAGTGTGGGGCCGGTGTTGCCAACTTTAGCGCCTTTTCAGACCCTCCTAGCGCCTTTATTTTAAAAAAAGACCAGATGCCAAATCTAACGTTTTTTCTGTTAATGCAGACTTTGGCGACATAAAAGCACCAGACTCTTTCCTGCAGCAGCCAATCACAAGCCTCCTCTAACTGTCCGCTGTGGTCATGCAGGGCAGGCTGCCTGCGCTGCAGCAGAGAGAATCCAGAGTACTCGAATCCAGATTGCAAATGAAATACGCAAAGCTGCTGCTAATCCCGTCCTAGATGCAAGATGCAATCACTTTTAACTGTTGTCTCACATAAAATAAGGGTTAGAATGTTCATTCTGCAGCCTTATTCACTCCAATCTCTGCTGCTACTTTCTTCTTTTTCCCCTTCTTGTTTTTTTTTTGTTAGATAGCAAAAAGCTAACGGTGCATTTATGTCACCAATTGCTCTGGAGTGTGGAACTAGATAGCTGAATTATATGCTTTTTTTTTCATTCCTTGTTTTTGTAAAATTCTCTATAAAACTCTTCAAATCTCCACGTTTCCTCCTCCCTTCTATCCCATCTCTCTGCACTGCTTTGACTGACAGCCAAAAAATAAAAAATAAAAAATAGAGGAATTTTGCTGGAGAAGATTCTCAGTCATCCAGGTCATAGTCAATCAAAAAAAAAAGTTCAAAAACAATCAACTGGACTTTGTTTCCAAGTTTGTTCACATGTTGGACAAAGAAGACAGGTGGTTTGGGAGGGACGTGATGGAAGCCATCTTTGTTAGAAGCTGATTTATGCTCAGAAACCAGTAGACACAGATATGCCCCCCCGCCCTTCCGCAGACACTCTGCTGCACCTTTCCAAAACCGTAGGTGACCGCAGACAGGAGGCCTCTGATTGGTCAAATTTGAATCCGCTCTACACTATGCATATTTCCTGTTTGGCTTGCTTTGTTTGTCTGACCGCCATTGTGGAAAACGACTCATGAAGATGGAGCAGCTAAAAGAGCGAGGTGCACGAGAACGCTTGGACCCTTTTCCCACCTGGATCCCCCCTCTTTTTGGCCCTCATGTCTCTCCGTTTTCACACAAACTTGCCCCCACTTCCTCACCGCCTCGGCCGAGTTCCTGATTGGCCCTCTGGCGTTGTGGCGTGGAATAACATGGCGCAGACAATGCTTCAATATTGGACAGAAATCAAAAATATCTGTGACAGACTGCTGGGGGAGGATAACCAGAACTTAAAGTGGTGATTCTATAGGGTATCTGGTCCTTCAGGTCTCTAATAGGGTGATAGAATGATTCTATAGGGTATCTGGTCCTTCAGGTCTCTGAATGGGGTGTGTAACATTGGTTGGTCTGAATATTAGCTGTTCTATGAGCCCTAATGCAGCCTGGTTAAAAGCCCTAGAATGAAACCACAGGTTTTCTTCCTTTTCTGGTATGATCATGAATATTTAGATGAGCTGTGCTCTGATTGGTTGGTTTACAACGAGCCAAGCTGCTGAGCAAAGACGCATCATAGCAACAAGCACTCACTGAAACATCAGATTGTTGATGTTTCAGTAGGGTAACCTACAATGCAGCGATAGAGTTGATTGCTTCCCGCTATCATCGTAACCCCAACCCCCATACAGGGGAGCAGAGCACCTCACCTATTGAGCCAGGCCAACTATTCACTCTAACGACCCCCCTTTCAGAGACATAGACAGGTATGGGGCATTGCAGGCTAACAAAGAAGCCAAGCGACCCCCATTCCAAAGGGGGGGACCCGTTCATCCGTTTCTATTTGGATGTTTTCTAAACTAAAACCAGGCTTTGTTGGGCTGCTGGATAAAACCTGGAACTAAACGCTATTTCTGACATTTTGAACTGAAAAAGCTTCCTGGATGGAAGAGAAACGTCTTCAGACTTGGAAACAAAGTCCAGAGGATTGTTTTTTTAAAACTTTTTTGGAATTGGAGGGATTCAGAATCTCCTGCAGACGGATGACATGATGTATGAAAATTAGGCGATGACATCATCTAACGCCTTTAAGGACAGCTAATGGCGACTTTTTTTGTTGAGGAGTTGGCAACACTCTGAGGGGCTGAGAGATGAGGGTTAAGCAGGAATGTGATCGGAATGAGAGACAGTGGTGGCTAACTTAGCCTAGCCTAGCATGGAGAGAGAGCAGAGGGATGCTGGTCTTTAGACCCACAGATAATCTTTTATCAAAATAAATCAAACCCACTCAGCATTGAATGTCAACTCCTTTTTTCCACTAAACATTGAAAAAAAGCCTTTGAAATATACATTGATATATTTAAAACTGTGAAATCTATTTTCATTAAAGCCAAATAAAAAAAAATGAAGAGCAAATGTCCAGAAAACGTACCTTATTACAGTTTATTATCATCACAATAAACCACTGATCTATTATCCATTATAAGTTTTCCTGGAAATACCTTAAAATCTATAGAATCCCATATGTTGGTAAAATTACTAAACATAAATAAACATGCATGATGATAAATGCATGGCTCATAAAACCAACCAGTAGTTTAAACTGTGTGAACTGGCTGACAAATCAAATGAATGAATTCTGCAGCATGTTAAAGTCATCAGTATCAATAAAAAACCAAAGACGAACGCAAACCTGAGTCTGCAGGTTGACCATGTCGGCCTCCATTTCGTTGTTGGATTCGTTCAGGTCGTTTATCTCCCTGTTTAGCTGCTTGATCTCCTCATCGTTGTCCAGAACTAAAGGAGAAAAAAAAAACAGTGGAAAAGCTGAATGAACTGCAGGAAGGAGGACGGCTGGCGCTGGAGTCAACCTGCTGCATTATATACGCTCATATCATTGTTTCAGGAACTCGTTGGTAACATGAAGGCATCTCTGTGTCTTAGGATCAATCATCGTACCGTCTGTGGCTCTGAACTTGGTGCTCAGATAGTCGTCTGAGGGGAACTTGGCCTTCTTCTTAGCGTACAACGCTCTGGGGCATCCTGAGAGGCTGAGGGAACAAACAGGAAGGGTCCTTACTCAGGGTTTATACAGGAATGAATAATTCAAACTTAATCCTTTTTAATGCTCTTAGAAATAATTTTAATGCCACCAACAGGTACCCGTTGACGGGCTGCAGCCATGTTCCGAATTCCTCGTTTTCCAACCAATTTTTTTGAAATTTGCTTTTTTTCCCCCCATTCTCCAGCCTTTTCTCTGACTAAAGCTTCTTTTCTGAACATAAAGCTTTGCGATCAACCGGAATCAGTTCCACACAAATATATTGGGATATAATATGTCTGACGAATTTGTTTTTATTAAAAAAATTTGTAATAAAGCATTTTAAATGCCACAATAAACACATTTAATGAATTTTAATGCCAATTAAGGCCTTAATTTAAAAAAATAATAATTTAATGACTTTTAAGGATCTTTATTGTCCCGCGGAAACCCTGTTACTGCTCTATGCTTGATTAGATGCCAATAACATAAAAAAAGCCTGAATGTGTATAAAAAATGTTAGTACTGCTGACCACATCACTGGTTAAGATGCATACAAGGACTTAACTTAGGGATGCATGATATAATGGGCCCCCTATCGGTATCGGCCTTAAAACTGAATATCGGACATCGGCCCCCCCACCGATATTTAACCCGATATTTGATCAGCTTCTGAGTTTCTAAAGTCTAAAAAAAAAAAATAAACTTACTTCTTCTTCTTCCTCAAAAACTTCTTTTTTACAGACTTAAAAACTTCTAAATACGAGGGAAAAAATATTGATCCATTAAAATATCCCAATATCTTCATATGCTGATATATTGCCATTTAAAAACACCATATCAATCTCTTTTACTAATGAAATATTGCTATATGTCATCGTTATGCTACGAAATCCCCCGAAAATTCACCAAATGTTGCCATATTTTTATATGTTGATATATTGACGCGGTATCGATCTATTTTACTAACAAAATCTCACAAGAATTTGCAAAATATCACGAGAGTTTGTAACAGAACGATGAAATTTCACCAGATTTTGAAAGTAAAATAGATTTTAAAAATCTATTTGATATCAGCATATTAAAATATATTTGAGTATATTATTTTTCCAAGTGTCAGAAATGGATAACAAAACTGCTATTTTCAATGACTACTTATTTTTGTCCAGCTTTAACATCGGTATCGATATCGGTTATCGGCTACATGAGTTTTAAAATATCGGCATATCGGATATCGGCCAAAATCCCAATATCGTGCATCCCTAACTTAAATGATATTTTATTTCACGTAAACATTTAGAAAAATCCAGCCTTTGATTTAAATACAACAACAGAGAATTAGGGCGATTATGACGTAATCCATATTAACATTAAACATTGGTGGAGCTAAATCTTTGCTCTACTTCTCAAGCTGCTCGTGCACGCCCGTGCATGCTCGTGCACGCCCGTGCATGCTCGTGCACGCCCGTGCATGCTCGTGCACGCCCGTGCATGCTCGTGCACGCCTGTGCATGCTCGTGCACGCCCGTGCATGCTCGTGCACATGTTTAATAGGCGTTCCTTCTCGGGAGCGGATACAGGGTTGTGCATTTGCATTTTTTTTTTTCAAATTGGATATTTAGTTTGATTTTTATAAAAATTAATAAATGACTAGGAAAAATAAAGGCATTATTTTTTTTACTGTCATTCATCAAGTTAAAAAAATCAAAGTTCCAAACTAAATATTGAATTTGCAAACTAAATATTTAGCTAAATATGTTTATGAATGAATGAATGAAATTGTTGCATGCTCAGCCGTTCTGCGGCTCACCTGCGGTGCGTGAGGAAGCTTCCATTGGCGTGACCCGAGCCGTCACACCCGGGGGTGGGGCAGGTGGGCCCCTCAGTCTTAAACGCCTTCCAGTTGAAGGGCATCCCGTTCAGGAGCCCCTCCTTCTGTCTGCGGGCTGCCAGCGGGCAGCCGTAGGCGCTGCGGTGCGTGGCGTACTTTCCGCTGATGTGTCCCAGGCTGTCGCAGCCTGGCACGGGGCATCTGCTGGGAGGGGCGCGGAGAGGTCGGACACGGGGGAGACATCCGGGGGGACGGAGAGAGGGGGAAGGAGGTTTAGGCCAGAAATCAGGCAGACTCACAAATACTAAATGTATAGAAAGTTCTTATCAGGCTGTTTAAAAACTTTCTGCTTTTGGATCATTTCTTTTTGTTTTCTTAATGTCTTCTTGCTTTAGAATAATTACGAGCATCAACATGATCCTAGGCTCCAGGTTTCCTATGGAAATGCTAATTATCCCATGCACTGAGCTCTACATCACTCTGACATGAACCAGACCCAGAGTCAGGGATGTTCCCATCAGGGGGTGGGGCTTATCGTCAGATTCAATTAAAGGGTCTGTTCTCCTAAGCGTCACAGTGACTGCTCTCTCTCTGCTCCTCCTTTATTGCATTTTACTCTTTACCGTCAGTCATGCTAAAAGCAGACATTATGGCTCTCTGAGCGGTACGAACTTTAAAAGCTCCGAGTCCTCCTGGTTGTCCTTGGTAGGAGTTTTAATTCCACTTTTCTTGGCACGCGGGCACCCAGAGAGACTGAAAACAGAAAGTATGGAGTTGATAACAGAGGGTTGGAAAGGTTACGGTAAGGTGACTGCTTCATAAAGGAGAGAACATGAGAAGGAAGAATATTAAGAAAAGAAAAAGGCTGTCCATCCAAATGAAAAAGAAAATCAAATCAAAAGCGCCTAAAAATGTGAAAATGTGTATGTGTTCCCTGTCTTGCTCTACCATGAGCTGTCACTAGGCCTCTCTGACTGACTGACTGACTGACTGACTGACTGGTTGCGTGTTGGGCTGAAGGTGCAGACTGCTCGTTACCTTCGATGAGAGGCGTAGTTTCCTGTGATGTGACCGGAGCCGTCACATCCTGGGGTCGGGCATCTGAGAGAAGAAAGGATTATATTTTAGAAAGAAACCCTTAAAGGTGTTTTAGTGTTTACTGCATCACAGTCACACATTTCTATGGATTCTATTCAGACTTTATGCAGCATAAAGCGTTAATTAAAAACGTAAAAGTAAAAAAGCTTTTCTATTGAAGAATCTAACATTGATGCAGCTGGTGCAGCAATCACAGCTTCAGGAAATGAGGCTGAAATGTGACCAAACTCAGTGGGATGAGATGCTTTTAGATGTTGTCTCCAAAGTATCCAGTAGCAGAAAAAAGTCTCTAGATTTGGCGCTAGGAGCTTT